GCGGGAAAATAAACCATCAGTCCCTTATAACCTTAAGCGACCAACAGTGACCAAACCTATTAATGCATGAAGGAATCAAAAAATTGCATCCCCCTAATGTAAATGTGTCTCTGTCCACAAAGAGAAGGTTGCTCCCAGCTAGAATTTTCAATAAAAGTTTATTTCAAAGTAAAATTCTTGCGTTCATAAATATTATGGTAACTAGCAAATTAAGGGTAAAGAGAAGCTGAAGATAAGTATAGAAATGCACCCCTGAATTTAATTGCTCTGGCTTTTTTAAAATAAACTTCATTTGTAAAGCAAGTTAATCAAATAATGCATAGGGCGGATTATAAGAATATTTGCAGTGGATATCGATAATTGCATAAATTAGAGAGATTTCCTTTATCCGACAATTGCGGACACATTGGTGAAGTACGTAGGATGCAAGAATAAGTTTGTTGTCTAATGTCCGCGTCTCCCATGGATTAGAATTTCATTGAAGAATAATATGGTTCCAAGGTGGGGCCAGAAATGGAATTGTAATTTGAGTAGTAGGGAAATCAGGAATAATTTAGCCTCACCGAAATAACTTAAACTACTAGTTTAGTCATCCATTTGATACAAGACTTATCTGCCAACCCACCCTTTAGGGCTGCATGTTCATTTGAGCAGGGGTATCGTTTGGCCACATGGCTTAGTCCAAGCCTATGGTTGCAGCTATAATCACCATCAGCAACACTAGCTGACAAATCAAGGGTATTGCAGCTCGTGCTGAATTCACTGCAGGTAACAGCAACGGTGGTGGTGGCCAAACTGTTAGTAGATGGCACAGAAGAATCAGTCGAAAATTGAGGCAGTCCAGGCAAAGCAGCCTGAATGGAACTCCTCGGGAACGAAGTGGACGTAGCAGTGATTCTCAGGCTGCGAAGACTGTGAAGATAGTTCGACTCAATTGGCTGCAAGCCAAGATGTAGAGAGTCAGGACCCCAATTTACGTACCGCCTGGAGCAACATGTATATAATTTAATGCATTAATGTGCTTATCCAGAGGCTAAGATGCACGCCTAATTTTATGCATCTGTTTGCTCACGCATGTTTAATGGTGTAAGTTAGTGTCAATAAAAAAATTGTGCGAGTAAACACATTCATGAATAAATGTACATTCGTATTCAGATTCTGTGCGAGCAGTACCATTCACTTAAATGTGCACCAATGTGAATACACGCAGACTTAGCGTATTTATGGATGTCTTCGTAAATGCACACCTGCGGCTATGCTTGCGTGGGTATGAGTCGACATAGTTTACCGTGTAGGGAGAGCAAAGAAGTCGGATGAGCGAGGGCGGATAAACCTGAAAAGTACTACTCATTAAAGATAAGCAAGCAGATAGACGTTAATATAGGGGTACAGAAAGCAAAAAAAAAGAAAGACAATGTGAAGTAAATTTAGAAAGGTTTTCGAGACTACCAGCAGTGCGAAGAAATATTTTTATTCACGCCAAGAATTAGCCTAAAAATTAAAATATCCGGATGAAGGAGAAATTAATTATGTATCAACAGGATGTGAGCAATCAGTGAGTAGGCTTATGCATGATAGATAAATATGTATATTTGCAAATGACATTCTAACCTAATAATGTGAAAGGTCTTGGTTAGTATGACTTTAAAAAATAGAATTGAATTGCAGTGAATTGTTTAAAATCTACAAGAAAAAGTGATTTAATGTACTATCGGTAGATTTAATGCAAATAGAAATAGCACCACAATAGGAAGTAAGCAAGCGCAAGTTCATGAACACCTTGCCCACCAATTTGAGGATTGTGCAAGAGGAGTTCTGTACAATCGGTCCCAAATCCGCTCTGGTTGAGAAAATTAGGTTAAATATTTTCATTTATTATATATTTAATAGCTTGATATAGGAGTTCCATTCAATTCCATAAGCCTCTAGATAATTTAAAAAGGCAGGATAAGTCATTGATATTGAGGCGCGAACTGAGGCGATACG